CCCGGGCCGCCTGCGCGCCGCAGGGCTCTGCCCCCCGAGAACCCAGCAGGCGGGGAAGAGGCCGAGAGCAGCCACGAACGGGCGGGGCGCGGCGGCAGAGCTCAGGGAGGGCCCGCGCAAGGTGCAGTCCCAGGGCCGGGCTCCGTGCGTCCCGCGGTGCCCTGAAGCTCTGGAGCTCCTGATCCTGAGAGGGTTGTGAGACCCCGCACAATGGTTGGTGCAAAATAACTGACCGTGTTGTGCAAATACATAGTTCGATTTTGACAAACTAGACAAAATGGAAATAGAAGGTGTAATAAACTTTTAATTAGGTAACTCGTAAGATCTAGTTAAGATTATAAAAATTCTTCTCATATACAAAATACATTCATGTTAAGTAGAAAACATGCTGAAACACCAGCATCCACATACCACACACAAACTGGTCATTCATTCCCGTATCATGAGAAGGACCAAAATATTCAACCGTTAACTGCAAAACAACCCCTTGTGCTGAATGACATCACCTCCCCAGTAAAGAATTTCTTTGTAACGCTTGTCAGGTACAAGTTTCTGTGTTCTCTGCCTCTGCAGTTCGTTACATCTGCTCTCACAAGCTATTTAAAAAACACCGTAGCTGTGGTTACAGCCATCCTGCCTAACTGCCCCCTCTAACACAGGAAAGATTCCAATAATCCCCTGTAAGGATGACAAAACCATAACCAAGAACATTATTATTTTTGCAAATTCTCTTCTACTGTCTCTCTAGACCGAGAACCTTCTGTGACTTTCTCAGTTGAGGGACAAACAAGGAGTTTTCATCAATGAATAAATCCTGACTTTGGTGCAGAAGAGATAATGCAGAAACCGAGTCTGTTTATTGCCACTGCTGAGCATGAGTCATTCCTCCAGTGCTGCTTTCTCCACCGGTTTTTGTACTTGCAGTTATAAAGCATTGACTGGTTTTAATTATCCACAGAGAAGCATATAAAGACAATAGATAATATGTCTCCCTCTGAAGTGATTCAAGGAAGAGAGACTAGGAAAAAATATACTTGGAGAAGGCATGAAATACAACAGTCCAAATGACACCCTGCACCCTCCTATCACTACACAGTTTTCATGTGTGTGTATTTTGCCTTGCTGCACAACAGCAAGAGTTTTATGCATAAGATACAATTATAAAAGAGAAAAGAGCCAATTAGCATATCTTCAGTTAGAATTAAGGTCTTCGGTAAACCTTTTTTTTAGTTTGTATGACATGCAGAGACCTTACACTTCCCCACCTAAGTTGGTAACACAGAGGAACTTTTAAGCTAGAATTAGAGAAAATGTGCAATTTTACCTTGGCTTTAATAAACAAGAAAACTCTTACTCCCTTATAGAAAACATTTCCCAGTTTGGCATCAAGATGCTTTAGAATAAATAACCTAAAAAACATAAGGTATAAAAGCTTTTCGATGCTTTGGGTAGGAGCTGAAGTTTTTCTGATAGAACTCGTGACACAAAACAGCAGCCAGTGCCTGGTTAAAAAGAACACACAGCACTACACACCACCACGTCACGTTGTGGAATCCAAGTGTGACGGCCATAGATACATAGATGAGGAGCTCTGCAAAATAATGAGGGCAAGAAACTGTCTCAAACCAGTCTCCAAAAGGCACACTGTGGCTCAGACTTACGACCTTTCCTGCAAAAAAACCCAGAAATAAATTAGTTGAGGACATGTATTAAACAAACTTTTCTCTTAATTACAGTTATCATCATCATCCACCTCCACCTGATCTAGCCGCGTTGCACTTCTTAATGAAATGTCACCTCTGGCTGTTTGAACAAACACAGAGTAAGGAAACATATTTTCAGCCTGCATGGAGACAGAAGTGAGGTCCCTGAAGAGTGGCACAAGTCCTAAGTGTTAGCATGTGTCTGTCCTTAGGATACTAGAAGCTACACCTTAATTTTAAGTTATTTAAAACATTATATACAGACTGAGACACATACACCCCGTATTCAGCCATCCGATCTCTTTCCCAAATAGCCTCATTTGATCTACTAAAGTCTTATAGAAAGCACCACCCTACAAGAACTGAAAAATACTCCTGTTTTAAGGTATTAGAAGCTACAGGAGCCTATTGAAACAACCAAGAAAAAAACATCTAAGGAAATGGTTGGCAGACATGAAATATCTTACCTGATTTATTTTTTCTAAGATTAGCTAGAATCACAAGACATCTGTGCTGGTGAAGGGAGGCCCAAATGTACATCGCAACTCCTACAATGTGATACCACCGGATCTGCATAGAAAGCTCTCTTCCTGAATGAAATAGGTTTCATTAATATAGAGCCAGGAAATACCTTTCCAAGCATCATCTCAAAATATTGTGTACATTTTTTAAATATTACTGTCTTACAAAATTCTAGCAGTGAGCCTCTGATCCCCTGAAGGATGCTTTTCCTGCGTCATTTAAGTGCTCAGCTGGTAGTTCATTTCCCTTAACTGCTCTATACTAACAATACCTAGTTTTTAATCTATTAGTTTGAGGTTCCACATGATGTACAACTGATAAATAATTGATAGTCTAAGACCTCAATATTCAACACTGTAATTCTTATCATTCTAATTAAAGATGCTGTCATGGCTCAGGTCAACACACAAGTACACAGTTGTTTGTCTTGTTTACAGTGAGTGAACACACATACATGCACCTATACACAAACACACATGCACGAACAGTGTGAACTGTTTAGGCCTTCAAAAAATGTTAACTGTATTAAGGATGATTTCTAATGTACAAGCAAATCTCTAAGAATCTGCAAGATGTGAAAAACAGAAGACAGGTCCAGCAAGAAAAAGGCTTTATCTACACATAGGAGACCTGATTTTTAAAAATCACTGGATTAAACTAGAGATTATGTGGTTGGAAGTGGTTAAAAACTTCACTAAGGTTACATGCTTGGTAATGACCATCTTAGTCATGAGAAACGTGCTACAGCCAGCTCACAGTCCTCTGTGCAGGGAAACAGCAGCTCAGTTGTGAGACTCAATGGAATGTGTTGGCAGAAACAAGTAATGTAATTCACATTTCTGATGTTTGAATGGAGAAATTACAGTACCAAATGAAAGAAGCAACTGACAGACACCAGGTAGAACAGCAGTGAGTTCTCAGTGAAAAACTAAGGAGATGGCCAAGACAGCCTTACAGACTCACCTGATCGGTTATGATCCCAAAAAGTATCTATGTGAGATGTCTTTCAGGAAACAACAGTGGTTGTTAACATGAAAGCATGGGTCAGTGTCTGCACATATGCATAATGCTGGTTGATTTTGTGATATACTGAAATGTAGTTACTTTGAACTGTGCCGGGAAACATTTTTATGTCTTATCAGTTAACATTTCTCACACAATACCATTTGCCACAAGGGAAACAAATGGGAGCAAAAATGCTTTGGTAATAACTAAACAGGCACTTACCACTCCTGATGTTGGTAGACGTTTGACATAGTACAGTTAAGCCAACAGCAAGGTAGTAACCAAGTCCAAAGCAATACTGCACAATATGAATGACACCACTGGAAAACACACTGGTCCAGAGGCATTCTGCAAGTCTTCGACAGCTATGCAACCAAAGCAGCAGGAGAACCAGGAGTGCAGAGAAGTGCTCACTATCTGCTTGCAGGTAAAAAACAGCAACTTTCAGACAAACAGGAACAATTTAACACCAACAGGGCTTCAAAAATACTATTTTATCCCCATCTCACAGCCAGATTTTATCCTCATTTTAAATTAACTGAGCACCAGGGAAAATACTTGTACAGGTGAGGCACTGCTGACTGCAGCAAGATTACTTCTAGAAGGTGCATGGCCCTTTCTTTGAAAAGGTCTACCAAAAGCCATCATATCCATAAATTAGAATGATTCTATCTTGAATAATCATGAAGGGACATAGTATTCCAGGAAAGTCCCTTGAAGTATAATTTAAAAGCAGCTAATGAAGCTGCACTTGAAAAACACAAATTCAGCAGAGAGTGGTAGTGTAGCTTTCTAGTATTTATATGGCTGCAGCATAATAGCTGGAATACTTGTCTGTGTCCTCACTCTGAGAATCTCTGCCAAGAGCGTAGTGCACTTGCTGAATCCATGATGGGAGTGACCAACCGAGGAACTCCGCTTGGAAAAGCCAGATCAGCAGAAAGCCATTCCAGAGCACAGAAACCACATAAAAGTGAGTAAACCACCTGTGGGAACAAAAGTGCTCTTCAGTAATGTTCTCATCATTCCTTAGTTGGAAATGTAGCTGCAGGATGTGCCTGCCTGACAGCGAGTACGTTCCTTTTTAATGCCCACATCAGTAAGTATGGAACCTGGGGACTCCAGTGGTACCAAGCAGGAATAACCCTAACACCTCCTTCTCCAATTGAAATGCTGTCTGGATTAACCTCTAACCTAGTTTATGTTACCAATGACAACTGCACTAAAGAGGAGAAAGTTTAAACTGCACATTGCAAAAGTATTCTTCAATGCTTACATCAGCATGATCTGCACATATTTTTCTTTATAATTTACACCACTGAAAAAGCACATCTTAATTAATTTTCTGGGCACTTCCAGGCTGTTGCACCTAGCAGTGCTCCAACTTTCCTCAGTTCTACTGGATGCATTACATGATGCATTAAAGTTCATAAACGACACATGCATATGGTAAAAGGCACCTAAAAGTAATTACTCAGCTGTGCACTAAAATCTTGCTTCTCTGCAAATTCAAGGTCTGCAACAATCATATAGAAAAAAACCTGAGACCATCAATACCACTGAGTGATTACAAGGCAAAGACCACATGTTTTTTTGAGAAAAGCAAAGATTCTTCCAACCCCATAATGCAGTTATAAAAGCACATTATGCATTATTGAAATGCAAGACATTACGGTCAAGACAATAACTGGACGGAATTAAACAGCCTGTGATATCCAGCTCAAACTAGGTGATCCAGTATTTCTTTTTGCTTTTAAAAGTAAAAGTCATTCTATGAATACAACACAGGACCTCTGGAAGCTCCTGCACAGAGATCAAATATGTACCATGAGAAGATGCTGATAGCCTTGTTTTGACAATGTAACTGGTACAAAACTAGTATATAACTGTATAGTTAGAGAAGGCTGTATTTCTCTGGAATGTGTAAACTTTTCTTCTGGGGGACTGTAGTGGTATAACACCCTTGCTTAGTGAAACCCAATAAAAGTAACCCTCCCTCTCAAAACAGCTCGGGTATCTCCCAACAGCAATACCAAGGCCAAGTCTGAACCACAGACATAGCAAGCAACCCAGCATACTCCAGAGCACTCTGCCCATTAGTGTTTGGTAGCCCCTTCAGATGATCACTCCTCCTCCTCAGTTCCTTCTCCCAAGCAGAGACAGCAACATTTTCCCTGCTGATTTACAACAGCAGAAGTAAAATTTAGCCCCTTTCACTTATTTTCTGCTTAGACAAAAAACAGAATCTGTATATTGACAGAAACTCATTGCCAGCTCCGAGTTTCAAGTTCTTTCCTTGCTGTCCTGTTACTCAGTAGACTTCTGTCTCACCACTGAGCCAGAGAACTTTCCCCATGTGCACTGCTGTTTTGCTACCAGCACACAAACAAACCCTGCCAGCTTAGCAGAGACATGTCCAGTGAGCTTTCAGCAATCCCAATTACACTGGGGACACATCCGAACTACAGAGCAATCCAACACTGCAGCAAGTACATGGGTCATCCTTCAAGGAGAGGAATGTTAGCTATTTGCCAAACCAACCCAAAATGAATCACAACATTTGATAATGTGGAATGTCAGTTAAAAACAAGCTCAGGCTAGTGGAAATACAATGCTTGTTTGGAAACAAGACACAGATGAATAAAAAGAGAGAATGCCTCAATGCCTACTTGCAGGATCTTCTCTATCCTTTCCAGCTGGCAGGGTTATGGATTCACTACTCAAGCAACAGAATCACTTTACAGATGTTGAGAGCTTGAGACCAGTTTCCTGAAAAAGCCATGCTCTTCAGACACAGTCTTCCCCAAGAAGGGGCAGTGAGAAACTTCTCTTGGAGAAAGGTCAACTCAAACAAGAACCTACCTTAAGAATATGCTGCAATTAAGACAAAGCCTTTTACGAGCCCTTACTTTTGTTGAGGGCACCACAGAGCTTGAAGGCATCCCTGATTATTTTCTGTGACTAGACACGTGATAACCAAGATACTACATTACGACCTCTCCACCAATAACAAGTTGTGTCACAAACCTTTTAACATTTGTTTTGAAGGCTATGCATATAAAATGTGCCAGTGATAATAAGATCGTTACACCAGGGGCTATCAGATCTTTGGGCTAACCAGCCTCCCAGTCCTGTCCTGCTGGCCTTGCAAGGTACTGCCACGTTCCAGTCAAAAGCTAGTTGTAGTCATCAATCTGGACTGACCAAAAAATACGAAATCCCAGCAGCATGTAGAAAGCTGTAAATGTTTTGGTTTATTCCCTCCTCTTTTCCATCTGCCATCCTTCTAGACATCTATTAAGAGATGCGTTTGGATAACGCAGCGGCTCTTTTGCCGTATTAGAGACCGTTCATGCAGGACCCAGATGTTAACATGCTGTTACTGGTACCCTGAGGCACGTTCTTTAAAAGAGAAATATTTAAGAAGATGGCAACTGAGAATACCGATTAAGGCAGCAGCCCCACAGCATATTCGCATCGTGACAGTTACACTCAGAAGCCCCTGTTCCCAGGTCCCTGACCTGGGTCCTGCAGGGTTTGCTCTGCAGATCCTGCACAGGGCTGGGACTCAAGGGGTTCGGCCTTTGCTCAGTGTGGGACGTGCGGACTCTGCCCGACTGCAGCCCTTACGCTCCTTGGCTCCCCATCTGCAAAAACAGAGCAGCACTTCTCAAGAAGCAAAACCAGCCCGGTCCTACAGAGACACGCGGTTATTCCCGCACCCGCCGCGCCCAGGCCGGGGACAG